ATCTGCGGGTGTGATTCCTCGTGGACGACCACTACTAAACCCTCGGATAGCTATTCCTGTTGTTTGAAATTGTCTCTAAAGTCGTGAAACGATGCTGTGAGCAATTCCGAACTCTGCAGCCACACTTGTCACACTGCGGCCTTCCTCCAACTTCCCAATGATTCGACCTCGGGTAAAAGCATCCAGATGTCGTCTAACAGATTGATTATTCGCCATTTCTCGCTGAGGCAGCAACTCGGTGTGATTTTAACTGCTATACGGCGTGCAATCTCTTTGCCAGAAATACTGATCTTACACCGACAACATGCTTTATACTACTCAGACACTCCCCCATTACGTCTACCTGCATATCTGCACATGTGCTACCGTACATCACCTTACTTAATCTCCGGATTGGTCTTTCTGTCCGCTCTGCCTCTTCGTTCAGCTGATATGCTAATTTTTCGACTTCGTCCTTAATTTTTGCACACCAGTGTATTTCCCTCTATAGGAGGCTCCCAGCCCATTGTTTTCGATATAAATATGATATACATATGCTTCTCTTATTTGAGAGGAGAAAAAAGATGGACCTGTGCGGGATCGCTTTCGAAACAGAAAAAAGTTTTATGAGGAGCTATATCAAAAAGTTAAAAAATTTGTTAAAAGCAAGCTGCAACAAATTCTACAAGCGATGATTTTTAGACCCTTTTTCCTCTCCTATTTTATGCGTCAATATAATTACTAACTACAAAGTAAATGTATCCAGCTATCTGGATACTTACTTCAGAAACAAATGCCACACAAAGTGTTATTTTTTTTTTCATTCTCATACATTTGTTAAATATCCCCCATATTTTATCCTTTCTTAAGCTTTTATCCTAAGCTTATCCTATCTAAGCTTTTATCCTTTCGTAGTTTAAGAAACATTCGTTTTAATGAATTCATCTCATACGTGCAGTTCCATTTTGATAGAAATAATTTAATAGCATTTAAACTTGATAAAGGTCGTTTTTGTACAAGTATCTAACTTCCACTACTAGGATTCTGCAAAATTTTTATACTTTTGCAGTGACGGAATATATTGTAAGAAATCATCCCACCTCACCGTGCTTGCTGTTGTGACTTACGCGATTAGCAGATTCACCTAATACGTGGAAACTCCATAGCCCAACTTGCGCGGCATCAAATGAATCTCTAAAACAAATCTGGATTTTCTGTTCATCAGTCAAATATGAGGGTCTATATATATTGAACTATGCGTCTCTATTTGTAAGAGCAAATACTGCAAATATTTGAGTTTGGAAACGGGAAATATAGCTTTGGGTCGGATTCAGAGACATCCGAATATTTTCGTAAAATGTATTTTAATAATTTAATGACATCATACTGTGAACATTTGCCTATGATAAGTGTTACTTATGGTATGTGCTCCTGCAGTCGCAACTAATTAATCCGGCATACTATTGCATACGTGTTGCTATCGCAGTAACAAATTAAGGTAATTATTTTATAAAGTGCAGTTATTATTCACTCTTCAAGAAGACAGAATGTTTTGAATGCAAATAATTATTTGTGAAATTAAAGGTCTGAAGTATTTTATTTTGCGGGACTTTAGAATAGAACTTTATTAATTAGTTGAATATTCAGCTCATAAAGCATTGATAATTTTCTGTTGTGCACCTGCCCTGCATTTTGGCAAGTTTATAATTTGTACCAGCGTTAAATTAAACGCAAACAAATTAAACAACACACACACAAATGGTTTGATTCCCCCACAGGATGCTATAATTGGGTCTCGGCGTGTATTTGGTGTCTCTTTCACAGGCGACGAAAGTGTGCAGGTTCATAACGAAACAGGACCAAATATTCACAGAAGATAAGCATTGTTTAAAATATTACAACACGATAGCAGTATATATAAGTTAAATTTTAGTATATTCGATTTTGGTTATCATTAATGACAATGGAAAAGATAGGATATAACCCTATTTCTATCTCTCTTTTTTTCCCATTTGCGCTACTGATATCTTTTCAAAGAGGTGCTAAAATGTGTTACAGAAAACATCTCTCCTCCGATAATCTGTAAGGTTTATGTTAAAATAACACCCTGAATAATGATTATTGGAGAAGTCAAACAACAAGAATCAGTATAATATTTGTAAATTTTGCAGAACTAGTTTCCATGGTTTAACTATATAACTAACTTCCTCAGCTGCTTAAGTGCAAATGGGCGAGATAAGATATGGTGATAAGATAAGAATGGCTGGACATTAACAATATAAGATATTATATAAGATCAGATAAGAATACCAAATAAGACAATATACCTTAACCATATAAGATAGATATTCTTATCTCTTATTTTATCACTGAAGCTTATCTGGTTCATTTGCACTTAGGCGGCTGAGGGAGATGGTTCTATAGTTAAACCATCCAAATTAGTTTTGCGAAATTTACAAATACTATTCTGATTCTTGTTGTTTGACTTCTCCAATAACAACTTACATCAGCAAAGTTTTGTACCAGAGTTAATCAGTATTGTGTCAGTATTAATACCAGTAAAGTATTGTATCAGTACTGTAACAGTTAAATATTGTATATGCATAGTTGGATCAGTAATCTAGCAGTCGTATATGAGTAAAGTATTGTATCGATGTATCAGTATTATATCAGTCTTGTATCAGTAACATCAGTAGTGTATCAGTCATATTTGCATCAGTAATATACCAGTAATGTATCGATAATGCATATGTGATGTGTTAAATCGCAATAACTTGAGTCTTTGTAACGTGTTATTCAGCGGTTTTATTTACCGAACGGTTTTACTTTCGGGCACGTTGTTCCTGTTTGTTAAAGACTGCTATTCTACGGCCGTACTTAATACGTGCCTGCTAGTATAAGCTGGTTATCCTTAATTAAGGGCCAGTTTGATTCTGTGCAGCTTCGGTTGATTAAATTTATCTAGTATTAGTTTTAAATATTATCTATTTTGTTAAAGCCCAAGTAGAGGCTTCTTGTAGTCCCTGTAGTCCCATCAGTAAATATATTTTGAGTTGAAATAAAAGGGTAATTTAACCCTTCTCCGGAGTTGTTATTTACGCACAGGAACTCGGCGAATAATTGCTATACAGTTCTTCCGTATTCTAGTTTTCACATAATTTTAGCCAGAATGTTACAGTACATGGGAATTTTATATTTGCCATTTATAAAGGCCAGACAATAGAAATATTGTAATAAACTGGCCGTTTGTTATTTCGTCATATGTTCATCTTAAGGTTTTATAGCAAAATTACCCCGTATTTACTCTCACATTTAATTTCCTGTTTGAAAACCAGGAGGAGAAAATACGCAATGTATAATGGTTAAGAAAAGACGACTTAAAATACAAACTCATTAAAAAGCACAAGCAAAGACAAACTTATATGATTATTATGTATTTCAAAGAACTTACCGATTTCAATAATTCTCTTTTTACATACACACAACATTTTCCTATTTTATATACATTTACATTACGGGAAAACGCGCGAGAGGGTAAATAACGTACATACTTTTCCTCTTCTGCATTTCGTTTGTTGTCTAGCATAACGAGTATTGTTTAAATTTTATATTATAAATACATGTACTCAAAGTAAGGAAAGCATGTCATGGTACTTAAAAAAGAAATGAGTACATAAATTATGAAAAGAAGAAAATTAAGCACATATTCAGTTCTTTTCTTACATAAGAGAAAAAAGTAATAAAAACGCAAATGAAAGTCAACATAATAATTAAGTAATCATTAAAAGAAGTTTAGAATTAATTTGTTCCTTCAATTCTGATAATTATAGAAAAAACGCAAATTTTCCTTTCAGACTTAACAATGTCGAACTATATAAACATGAATTCAGGACGCACATAATGAACATGTTTCAAATCGAAAGCAGCATTTTACAGTTAAAAAATCATTGATCTCAGGCTATTCATATAACTAATAAAAATAATAAGAGAAATTCATAATGTAAAAATTTCTTTCTTTTATTAATTTAAAATAGTAATAATTTATAGAAACATTTCGCATGACTCTAAAAACTTCACTGGCATATTTCATTTACAGCAAAAGTTAACAGAATTTATAGAATTAAAAGATAAATTTTTCTTTCTTCTCCCCCCTTCTTTTTAAAGAAATCTATCACATCAGCTTTGAACGTCTTAGAAACATTTTTATACGGCCCTCTTTAGTTCTGATATTATGCCCTGAATTTCACAGCCAAAGAGATCTACTAAATTGTGCATTAAAATATAATTACAATTTTTATTGTGACAAACCTCGAATGGAAAGAAGCCAAAACCATAATGCTTATTAAAAGAGAAAATTTCATACCATTTATCGATATTTTGATTGTAGAAAAATGACAATCTTTTAAATATAAGTAGTTGTAAACACAAGCGAAATTTTCACAATTTTACAAATATAACTAAAATAGAAAGCACAACTGTGACATAAGGCATGACATGCGGGTTTTCTATGAAACTTCTGGAAGAAATAAAACTATACTCTCATCAGTAAATACTTAATATTCTTAACACTTACATAACTTACTTATACTTTAATATACTTATTCATTTACTTTAATACACTTAAATACTTTCTCCGTTTACGAAACTGAAAATTACTAAACTTTTTCAAATGATAAAAACTGTAAATTGATTACTTCGTCTCAAGTTATAAAAATACATTTTAATTCTTTGCATTAAAAATATAGTAAAGTAGAAATAAAATTTTTGATGCCTAATAAAGCGGAAGGTGTGTTCATCACTGGTACTTTCATTAAAGGACTCGTATTTGTCAAATAATTAAAAATGAATTGCTTTACAAATATAAAGTTACAAACCTTACTTTATCATTTATATTGTGAATATTTTCTGCTTTTTTATTTTATGCTGAAAGAGAAGTACATCCAAATAAATAAAATCATGCATAAACATGGAAATTATTTTTATCACAAAACTGAATTTGAAAGGATAATATGAAATCTTACCTGGAAAGCTGCATCGCAGTAAATTTCGGCGACGCCGGGTTTGTTGTAGATTTTCAGTTCTTGCAATCCTCCCTGTAGAACAAATACAAAAAATAAGTTCCGCATAAAATAAAAGCGCGGAATGAAAAATTGAGGGCCCATTGCCAGATCCACAGGAACAAACGCACGTGGCTTTTTAGACACAAAACTAATGGCTGTCACTTTCAAGTATGTAACTTTTTGGTTTATTTTTTTGCTGCCATTACAAACGTTGACACACTAAAATGTCAAGCCATAAATGTAGTTTATATATAATGAAAGTGTCAAGCGCGTCTTTACAATTTTTCAGTAGCTATTAGTTAATGGTTTTGAAATTTATAGAACGATGTGGTTGTCATTAAAGTGATTCATTTTTTGAAAAACAAATTTTTCCACGTTATTTCTTCTTCCGTATTTTCTTGCTCAACTTGACTTTAAAACAAGAAATCTAATTAATCGAAAGCAAAGTTATGAATAGAAGCTACGAACAAATATTATGAATAACTGCTTTTGAAATATTCCGAGGCGCAAAAGAGTGAATTCAAACAACTTAATATCCAATACGCTCGAACGTCAGTAGTTCAGGTTACAGGCAAGGAAACATTTTCAGTGATTGATTAATGAAGCAAATTCTTAGACCCGTAATCTGAGAGCTATTCAAGCGCTTGTATTCCAATTTGCAACAAGAATGAAAACCTTTCAATGAGTGTTCCGGGTTCTTGAAGAAATCAGAGTTCTTACGCTTACACATTGAACCCTTCACTAGTACTTTTCTCTTACACATCTACTAAGAATTTCACAACTTCTTCAATGGTCATGCATTTTTCTTTTGATAAGTAATCAGAAAATTCTATGTAACAAAAAAGGATACATCACAGTTGCGACAATAAAACTCTTTCAGTTCTTTTCGATAAAATACTTGTGTTTCAATCAAGCTGCTTTAAACTTAAGTTTTTTATTGGTAATATTTATAAAAATAAATAAATAAAACAATCCAAATCAGTTTAGAAAAGTTGCGATATCAGGGAGAGATTTTATTTTTCTCGCTAAGCACGTGCTGAATAGCACACAACCCATGAATTGTCAGCAACGATGCGCTAACAGGACAGATGCGAAACTGAATTTGAGGAGAAAGTGTTTCGGAAGTCCGCTGCATTAGGTTGCCGGTTTAAAGTTACTTTCGACGCCAAAAGTCAAGACAATCTGCGCCAAACGGAGAATTCGTATCTTGATTCTGATTACGGCGTTCGCCAGAATTTATATAAAATACACTTTTTTAACATTTATTTGCATTATACCGTAGAACAAAAGTTACTTATATTAAGAATAATAAATCTTCTTATTCAAAATACACATTTTGTAACATATATGATTTGTAAACAACAATAACAACATTAAAAATAACATTGATTGTGTAAAAACAAAATAAAAATTTAGAGCCAAGGATTACAAAAAGAAAAAGCATTTTAAAACTTCAGTTACAATAATAAGATTTATGGTTTAAACTTTAGTTCATATCATGAAATATGCACGAGTAACTACTTAAAGTGTTACTATGCCATTAATTTTTCATTGAAAAGACGAAAAGGACCCATACACATTACTTTCTGTCAAAACTTTTTCAGAATAAAATAAAATACGCAAAGAACTTCTTGATGGTCCGCAATAGTAATTTAAGATGATATATACCTCAAAGTAATACCTAAAGATCCCAAAATACCTCAAGTAAACCAAAAACTGCTATTATCGTAAAACGTGATATTCAAAAAGGGTTAAAGATCAATCTTTTAATTTATCATTTGAATAAAAGAAAATATTTAAAACACATTTTATATTTAAATTTGCTTACATTCAAAATTAAAATGAGTTTATATATGTATATATATTTAACCTAATGAAATACTTTAAATATAAAATAGCAATATACGACAAAAAATCCCTAAACATGTATGAAACCTTGAGAAATAGCAATAAATAAAAATAATAAAATAAATGATAAAACATCCACATGTGAAATTCAGAATTACTTCAAACACGTACATCCTGTACACGCACATACAATTAACGAAACAAAATTACAAACTACAGTAAAAATCAGAAACATTTAAAAATGTATCGAGTATCTGTCATAAGAATGAATGATATTATGTAACATCTTTAATTAAGGATTAAACAGGTTACAACAATATGATATTTTCATTGCAAACTAAAACCTTTTTAGCTACCAAGATATTGTGAAAACTATATAATAAATGTTAAAACATTTAAATCTGTCATTAAAAACTTCTAGTAATGGATATATATTGACTTTTTTTCGGAAAAAATGTTTTCCTTTTCAAAATTAACTACATGGAAATGAGGATTTTCTGGTTTAAAAGATATTTTTGCTTCCTTTTACGCACTAAAAGAAGTACTGTAATAACGAAAATTTTTGAGTATCGTATTTCAACGAAAATATCTATTTTGACCCCTGTGGAACTCGTATGAACGAAGCGCTCATTTTTCCAAAACGGATTGTAAAATGGATTTAAAACGTACTCAGAAGAGATTTTTTTTCCCTCGTGATGTTTACGTACGTACATACGTTGAAATTTTGTATATGGGAATGCTGTAACATTTATTTTGTATATGGGATTATTTTGTATATGTAATTTATTTTGTATATGTAATTTTGTATATGGGACTGCTGTAACGGAAATCGGCCCCACGAGACGTATATATATATACATAGTATATTTTTTTTCGCACTCTGCTACCCGGCTCAGTGAACTCAATATTTTTATTCTTATATGTTGGTAAATTTTATATTTTGCTCTTTAAAATTGATTGAATTATGCTGTTCTTATGTTCTGGTTAAGGTTTTTAATGCATTTGGTTAATCTGCATACAATAGTTGCAGAATTATCAAATATTTGAATAGTTTAAGCGGCGCTAAGCCTAACGAGGCCGCCATTTATTCACATTTGAAACTCTTACTAGAATATTGAATTAAATCAATTGGTGGACTAACTTCAGTGTGTTTTTGCCCAGTGGAAACAAAAATTAACTTTCAATTTTGTGCTCCGAAAATTTTTTCTTCCTGCCAGCGGGCTGAGTTGCTTGTTTTTGCGCGGAAATTCTAATTTTACTTGTAAAAATTATTTTAACTGTACATGGTATTTCAGGTTTTTCTGTATTTTACAATTTTTAATGAAGATGTTTTAAGATTTTATGTATCTTGTCCCGGAGTGAGAAATGACTTGATTGAATGAGAAATGTATCTTTAATGAAATTCGAGGAAATATTTTTAAATGAAAGAGCAGCAACAACTGTGGATAATTTAATAGGCTGTACAAGGAAGTTCGACCATATCAATTTTTTCCTTATTTGTAAAAGTATGCTGAATTATGCATTAGGTGGATGTAATTATGCAATAACATGTTATGAGAGCAAGTAGAACAAAACAGTACTTCATAAACAGTATTTCTGTGTGTAAAGTTTTACACAGTCAAAAATACTAACGAAAATATTAGTGAAAAAATTGCTGTTAAGTTTCAAGGAATTTTTTTACCGTAAGTGTAGAAATATTTTTAGTAATAAATTATGAAAGTTTCAAAGCAGTAATTTTGATCGTAGCTTATGAATTAGACGCTATACATGAATTGCAGCTTCTTCACCAGAGTAAATACCTTCCTTATTATAAAGAAACATTCAAAAATAATAACACTTTTCCGAAATTTTGTATTAGAAATCTCCATGGGTATCATATTCAATTGTTTAGCTAAAGAAATTAAATTTTATATCACATGAAGTAAACAAAGAAAATCATCTCCTTTCCTGATATAGACGTTCATCTATATATAAGTATTTAAAAGGGAAAAAATTCTACATCATCTACCACAGGCGTTTTAAATCGTGTTAAGAGTAGAGAATGAAAATAAAGATTTTAGAAGCGGAAATGGCTGGAGACTGTATCGAGCGAATGACAAGATTTCCGGTCGTTTTTCATTTTCTTCCTGAGTGTTAAAGCAGAAACACAATGAACATATTTCTTACAGTTTTCGTGAGTTTCAGCTGGGCGAAATTGCTAGGCTTAATTGCAGATACTGATCATTTAGGCACAATAATGTTTCCTTCGTTCTTTATGACAACAAATTATTATTTTTTTAAGTTTGTTAAGAAGACTTCTAAAATAAACGTAAAATATATGATGAATAAGTAACGATGCATCTAAAATGATAAAATAAAAAAAATAAATAGTTCTATTGATGATAATAGTAAAATTAATGCTTATTATGGAAGACTCAAAACAATCACAGACTAATTATCGCTGTAACACCGTAAGAAAGACAACTATATATTCAAAATATAAACAGCAAATTTTTTTTTATTCCAACAAAACCTTACAAAAGAAATGATGTTGATATATGTATTAAATGATATAAGTGTTCTACAGTAGGATAGCTGTCTTGTTTACAGTCATGAGCAGTTTTCAAAATAAAAAGATTGCGACCTACCTACCATTATTGGCAGAATTTGACTTGTGCCCTCTTGGTGTAGTTGAGATGGGAATGGAGGTTAAGATGAAATATAAAATATTAAATCATATTAACAATAAAATAATGCATATTTTGTTCCAGTATGATGCTTATGTTGATCTGTAAAATATATTTCTTGACAGCAGCGAACGATCGAAAACTGCACAGCGTTCGGTCGGCTGGCCATACCAGCTGAAAAGCAAACATTTCTGCATTCCGACGTATTCAGAGTTCAGCATCTCACCAGAGAATATGTTACGTTTTTATACTCTTGCTGAGTTCGCAGTTTACTAATCTGCTCTTGGACTTACTCATGCAAACATAACTTTTTTGTCTTTTTAACTTTATTATTAAATATAATTTTCTTTACACTTATATTACATAAAGTTAACAGTAAAATAACATAATTTTTAAAAGCACTATATTCTGATATAGTGCTCAATATTGTCGTGCCTTTTTTTTTTTTTTTAATTAAAAAATTTTTTTAGTCTTTACTCAATTTATTATATTAATGTTCTATGTTCTGTTTTCTCAGTA